ATTTTCAAAAAATTGTAATAAAATACTACACAGACATGGAATATTATTGTCAGAAATTTTAATAGATTTCTTTGTGAAATTTAATATTTTTTAAAAACTTTTCGCAACTCAATGATTTTCAATATCTATACTATTTTCATAAAATTTCCAAACAGAATTAAATTATTTAAAAAATTTATTAAAAAAATCTTCGTAATAATAAAAATTTCTCAGGAATTCTATTATTTAAAATAGAATTTGATTAAAATAAGTCGAAGGAAATCAATTATTTAAAATTTTTTTTTATAAATTTCTTCGCAAGAATTAAATCATTTTTATAAATATTTTAATTCTTTCATGAATAATAGAATTCCTTGCAGGAATTCAATTTATTAGCAGGATAAGAAAGAAGTAAATATATTTTGACGAAAATTAGGAAAAAGTCAGGAAAAGAAAATATAGAATGAAATTTTTGTCTGTTTTTTGAAGTGTCTAAAACACTTTTTCTTTGGTCGTCAAGTATAATTTTTCGACATCTACTTTTTTTAGTTTGAAAGCTACTTTTTGCTACTTTTTTTAAAAATTAATTATCGATTGCGAAGTCTGCTATTTAAAAACGAAAAATTTTAAACAAAAAAATTTATAATATGAAAAATGGAAATTTCTCTTTAAATCTTTTTGAAAGAAAAAAATTTCGGTAATTTAAGAATATTTGATTAATAATAACCTACGTAAATAATAATAAAAGTTTATAAATTATAAATTAATAATAATTCATATTGTATACGTATGGAAAAATAATAACAATAATAATTATTATTATTACAACAGAATTTTGAAAAAAAATTAATTTCGATCACTCGAAATAAGTACAAAAATTTAGAGCTATAAAATATTTTGCGCAGCAAATTTCATTCTTGTTTAATTGCGCCCGAAAAAATTACACAATCATTATGATATTGATTCGATACCGAATTAATTAATTTTCAATCGCAACTGCAGCTAATTGCAATCGTAAAAAAATATATCGCAAAATTTTATTTTTGCATTTTGTTATATATATGCAAAAAAAAAACGAAAAAAAATGTTCTTCTCGAGAGAATTTTTTTAAAAAGGAATATTAGCAAGCTATTGCACAAAGAAGGAATCTTGAAGTGAATTTTAATTAAAAAATATAATTTATAAAATTATACAGAAGAGAAAAAAAAGGGAGGTTGAATTAATTTCTTTCTGAAGAGAGGAGAGAGAGAGACAGAGAGTGAGGATCTAATGTTAAAGATGAACTATGCTCAGTGCTTTTCTTAAAAGCAGTGACCTGTTAAAAGAGCTTAAGTTCTCCATCCGTTGCAAATTAGTTTCCTATGCGGGGGTACATAAAAATGCATCTAGCTCTTGTTTTTTTTTCTCTTTTCTTTTTGTCTCCTTTTTTTTGCTACTATTCGTTTGTTTAAAAGTGTATTTTTTTCTCTCCTCTTTGTCGTCTTTTTTTTTTTTTTTTTTTTTTTTTTTGAAACGAGTCGAAACTAATTTTAAGAATAAATAGTAGACAGTCGTTGCGATGTTGAACGTTTTATACGCAAAAGTTTTTGGTAAAACTCTCCTCCCCTATTGCGTGGCGCATGTCAGTTGTCACTTGTCTGTTGTTTCCGGTATTTAACTCGCCTCAACTATTCGGAATAATTAATTACAGGGTGTATAAAGTATCTCAGAGCTTGCGCAAGATATAGCTCAGATACCAAAACGTTCGTTTTGTTGGACAACTAGTCACGCGATACGCCTACCAAGTTGAAACTTTCTATACAGATAACTTGCCTTCGTTGCTAATCATAGTGAAATACAAGTTGCCACATCGCTTTAAGATTTATTAGCAACTTTTCATGGGAAATCTTCAGGCACAAACTTTATCATATTCCCGTCTATTAAGTTTGGGAATTTTTTTATTTGCCTTCCTTTTTTGTTAGTAAATGAAGTAATTTTTTTAAATTATAGATTACTAATTTGTTTTTTAACTTAAATAATTTTTTAATTCAATTAAATCCATTTCTTAAAATAAATTAAATTAAATAATAATAATAAATTAAATTTTTAAATTAATAATAATAATAATAATAATAATAAATTAAATAATAATTTAATAATAAATTAAATACTTCCTCTATGAGGAAGTAATTTAAATAATTTCTTACAACAAAAAAAGGATGTAATCAGAATTTCTTTATATCTACTCTCAAAATTTGAACACTGAAAAAAAATTCTTTGATTTAAATAACTACTTGTCTATTATAAAAAAAATATTTACTTGAATCAAGTAATTTTTATTTAAATCAAGTAAATGGTATTTAAATAAATAATTTCATTATTTGAAGCAAATCCCAATTAATTGACTCAAATTTTCATAAACAATAATATTTTTCGCAAGAATTCAAATATTTTTATAGATAGTAAAATTTTTTTGCAAAAATTCAATTATTTTCAACTAAATTTTAAAGAAATTTTACGAAAGAATTCAATTGAATTTTTAAATAGCAAAATCCTTACAAAAATTCAATTATTTTTTTTAATAAAATTTAACGAAATTAAATTAAATTATTTTTATAAATATAATAAAATTCTTCTCAGAAATTCAAATATTTTCAATCTACAATTTTAATTTTTTTTTAAATTCCTCTAAAGAATTAAATTATTTTCATAAATAATAAACATCTATTCGCATGGATTCAATTATTTTCAGTAAAATTTTTATCAAAATTCTCCAAAGAATGGAATTATTCTTGAAAAATTGGTAATAAAATTTTTGTAAATATAATTTAATTATTTCCAAAAATTTGTCCCAAAATTCAATTTTTAAATATCAAGCTCAATTTTTGAATAAAAACAAATTCAAAATTTGAAAAAATTCAATTATTAACTAATTTAGTAATTAATTATAATTATTGTTTATTATTTTCAAATATTTTAACAAAATTCTTCAGAAGAATTCTTTGGAAACATTCAATTATTTTTTATAAATAGTAAAATTTTTTTGCAAAAATTCAATTATTTTTTAACAAAATTTTAATGAAAATTTACAAAAGAATTTAATTACTATTTAAATAGCGAAAATCAAAATCCTTATAAAAATTAAATTATTTTTTAATAAAATTTTACAAAAGAATTATTCAATTTTTTCTTCTTAATTTCTTATAACATTTTTCAAAAGAATCCAATGTTCTAAAATTTTTTGAAATTCTTCAAAACAATTCAATTATTTTTATAAACAGTAAAATCCTTTGTGAAAATTCAATTATTATTTATTTTTAATACAATTTTAATAAAATTTCATGAAAGAATTCAATTTTTAAAAATTTTTAATAATATTTTTAATACAATTTTCAAAAATTTCAATAATTAAATTTTTCATTTTAATTATTAATAGACAAAACTATTTTAAACAGTTGAAAAAAAATTTTTTTTTTTTAATTTAATTATTGTCAAAGTAATTATTTTTATAAATAGTAAAATTCTTTTGCGAAAATTCAATTATTTTTAATAAAATTTTAATTTTAATAAAATTGAATAAAAATTGAATAAAAATTGAATAAAAAGTATTCAGTTTTCTAAAATTTCAATAAATTCTTCGGAAGAATTCAATTATTTTCAACAAAATTTTAATAAAATTTCACGAAAGAATTGAATTATTTTTTTAAATAGCAAAATCCTTAGAAAAATTCAATTATTTTTCAATAAAATTTCACGAAATAATCATTTAATTTTTTTCTTAATTTCTTATATTTTTCAAAAGAATCCAATTTTCTAAAATTTTAAGACATTCTTCAAAACAAATCAATTATTTTTATAAATAGAAAAAATTCTTTGCGAAAATTCAATTATTTTTAAAACAATTTTAATTTAATTTTATTAATGAATTCAATTTTTTTTTAATTTTGAATAATATTTCCAATACAATTTTAATGAATTACAATAATAAAATTTTTAATCACCATTAGTAACATAAAATCGATTGTATTCAATAAATTAAAAAATTTTTTTTGAAAAAATTTAATTATTGTCAAAATTTATTTAATACTATATCTATTCTTTGATCTATTCTTTGATCTATTTCTGAAAAATTCTGTTTTTTTTAGCAAAAAAGAAAATTATTAGAAGATTTTAAAGAATTTATTGAAAAACAAATTTATTAGAAGATTTTAAAGAATTTATTAAAAAACAAATTTATTAAAACATTTTAAAGAATTTATTAAAGAACAAATTTATTAAAAAACAAATTTTTTTTTTAATTAAATATCTCGATTATTATTATTTAACTTTAAAATGAAGAAAAAAATAAATGTGACGTGCTTTTTATTTTTATTTATTATTTTCAATTTCTATTATATTAAGTATAACAAGATTATTTTAAAAACTTGGAAGAAATTGTTCATAAAATTTAATTACTTTAAAAATTTTCAATTAAAATTATTAAAGAAACTCCATTATTTTATGAAAATCCAAAGAAATTCTCCAATAGAATTTAATTAGTATTTTCAAAAATTTGAATAAAATCCATCGGAAGAATTCAATTATTTTCATGAATAATAATTTTTTTTTATGGAATTCAATTATTCTCAATTTTTTTTTTAAATTCTTTGCAAGAATCCAATGATTTTCAATAGATTATAATTTTAAAATTGAAAATAAAAAACAAAAATTATTTTAAAAAGTTAGATAACAAAAAAGCAAATAACAAAAATAGTAAATGAATGAATAAATTAATATAAAATCAATAAACATATTATTAAATTAATAATAAAGCATTTTTTTTATTTTTATTTATTTTATTTATTACATTGAATTTTATTTTTCATTTATTGTTTTTACCTTTAAATTCCATTATTTATTTATTTAAACAACTCTATACAATTTTCCTTTATTTCTCATAAAATTTTTGTTTATTTTCTACGAATGAAATTTTTTTTCCTCCTTCCTTTGTTTTTTTTTTTTTATTTTGAATTGATCGTTAAATATAGAAACAAAAAATATTGTGTAAAAATGTATTTCAAGAATTCAGTAAATTTTCCTTGAGCCTCTGATATTTCTCCTCCTCACATTGATGATATTTCCGATAAACATTTTCGACATCATTGCGTTCACGAATTCTTAAATTTTTTAAATAATTTTTCTGATTGATAAGATCCATTTGATGGCGTAATGCTGCAGTCTTCTTAAATTTTCTCTCGTAATCCATCAGCTTAACGTCGTTCTCAAGTTGTTTCGTTAAAACATCACGTTCACGATTGATTCTCTCCTTTTCGTTTAGTTTAATTTCTTCTTTCTCTTCCAACTGCATTCTACGTATATCAAGGACTTTTTGAAGTTCACGAGCACGAGCCTCGTCTCGTTCCTTCATTGCACGACGTCCCATCTCCACGGCATCCTTCTCGTACTTACCAACAATTTCCTCAACCTCGGCATTTCGTCTTGTTTCCTGTTCCCGGAATTCCTGTGCACAAAAAAATAAAAGAATACGATTTTTATTTTTCTGTTTTTCTTTTTTTGCCTTTCTCTTTTTTTCCCCTGCAAATCCCCTTTCTGTTTCTATACACATTGTTCTATTTTCATTTTTATTCTTTGCTCTTTCTCTCTTTCTTTTTTTTGTGCGAGGGGTTTTTTTTTTTTGTGTGTGAGTGCAATTCACACGCTCTTTCACTGTATATATGTATATTCGTGACGGATATGTTCTTTCTAAGTGGAAAAACCCTTTTTCTACAGTCAGACAAAAAAATAAATTCAAGTCGAAATAATGCGAAATGAAAAATTTTCTTTTTAGTGAAAATAGTTTTTTTTAGATTTGCAGTAATTTTAGGAAAAATAACTATAATAACTAATAACTATAATTTTTAAGTAGAAAAGTGTAAAAATAGTCAGATAGTAATATTAATAGTAAATAAAGTTTTAAGTAGAAAAAACTGTGAATAGTCAGACAGAGTACAATCGAGTAGAACATAATCAATTTTCAATTTATATATTTTGATATTGAATACAAAAAACTAGTAGAAAAGTATAGTAGAAGTCAGACAGGAAAAATAACACTCAACAGTTTTAAGTAGAAAATCCTATCAATTGTTAGACAAAAGAAAATCAAGCTGAATTAAATCTACTTTTCGTTTATGGTACTTAATTAATTAACTAAGGAAAAATTTATTGAGTAGAAAAGTAGAAAAATAGTCAGACAATATTAATAATGCTAAAATAATAATGCTAAACAGAGTTTTAAGTAGAAAAAACAGGGAATAGTCAGACAAAATAAAATCAAGGTTTAAAATCTACTTTTCCTTTAAACTACTCAATTATTGAACAAAGAGACATTTTTTTAAGTAGAATAGTATAAAAATAGTCAGACAATATTTAAATAATGATGAACAGAGTTTTAAGTAGAGAAAACAGCGAATAGTCAGACAAAGTGAAGTCAAGGGGAACAATCCATTTTCTCTTATTATTCTTGTTAATTTTTATCAAATCAAGAAAAATATTTTAAGTGGAAAAGTAAAGCAAAAGTAAAACAAGAAAAATTAGGATTAACAAATTTTTAAGTAGAAAATACAATTAATAGTCAGACAAAATAAAGTCAAGCTTTAAAATTTGCTTTTCGTTTAAACTACTTTAATTGTTGAATTCAAAAACATTTTTTAAGTAGAAATAATGCTAAACAAAGTTTTAAGTAGAACAAACTGAGAATAGTCAGACAAAGTGAAATCAAGGAGAACAATTTATTTTCTCTTAATCTTGTTAATTTTATCGAATCTAGAAAAATATTTTTAGTAGAAAATTAAACCAAAAGTTAGCCAATAAAAATAACGCTGAAGAAAGTTTTAGGTAGAAAATACTATCGATAGTCAGACAAAATAAAGTCAAGGAGGATTTATTTATTTTCTCAATATAATCTATTCCATTATTGCGCCAAAAAAATATTTTGAATAGAAAAAAATATATTCGAAAAAAGAGAACTAGGCAGCTAATAAAAAAAAGACGCTAAAGAAATTAAAAAGTTAAAAAATTATCACTAGTTAGAGAAAATAAATTAAAGCAAAATTATCGATTTTTAATTACTGATCCAAAAAACATATTTTAAGTATAAAAGTACAGAAACGGAAAAAAGAGGACAAAATTTAAAAAAAGAAGAGAAAATAAAAACTGCGCTAAATAAAATTTTAAGTAGAAATATCTATTAATAGTCAGACCAAAATAAGTCAAACAAAATTTACTTTTTTTTTTAATCTACTTCATTACCGAACCAAAAAAAGAATTTCAAGTTTAAAAGTACAAAAATAGAAAAAATAGAAAACAAAATATAAAAAATGGAAAAGAAAGGTTTAAGTAAAAAAATCTGTCAATAGTCAGACAAAATAACAAGCAGAATTAAATCTATTTTTACTAAGGCTATTTCAACATTGAACGAAAAAAAATACTTTTGAAGTAGAAAAGTTTAGAAATAGTCAGACAATAAAAATACTGCTGAACAAGGTTTTATAAGTAGAAAAATCTATTAATTGTCAGTAAAGATGAAGTCTGGCAAAATTTACTCTTTTTTTTAATCTACTTCATTATCGAACCATGAAATGAATTTTAAGTGAAGAAGTACAAAAATAAAAAAAAAATAGAGAACAAAATTTAAAAAATGGAAAAGAAGGGTTTAAGTAGAAAAATGTGTCAATAGTCAGACAAAAAAACAAGCAGAATTTAATCTATTTTTATTAAGGCAATTTCAACATTGAACGAAGAAAAATATTTTTTAAGTAGAAAAGTGTAAAAATAGTCAGACAATAAAAATAACGCTAAACAAAGTGTTAAGTAGAAAAATCTATTAATAGTCAGACGAGATAAATTCAAGCTAATTTTTATTTATTTTCTTAACATAGTGCATTTAAATATTGAAGCAAGAAAAATATTTTAAGTAAAATAGAATAAAAACAGTCTGGTAATAAAAATAATGCTAAAACATTTTTTAAGTAGAAAAATTTAACACTAGTCAGACAAAATAAATTAAAGAAAAACTTATTTAATCTAAAGTATAAAAAAAACTCAAAACAAGAAACAAAATTTTAGTAAAAAAATACAAAAATAAAAAAAAAATTTTAAAAAGAAACAAAATTTTAGTAAAAAAATACAAAAATAAACAAAATTTTAGTAAAAAAATACAAAAATAAAAAAAAATAAAAAAAGGAACAAAATTTTAGTAAACAAATACAAAAATAAGAAAAAATATTTTTAAAAAATGAAAAAGGGAAAAAATAGAAAACAAAATAGAAAAAAATTTGAAAAGGAAATAGGAAAACATAGAAAATCCAGTAAATAAATGAAACGAAAAATACAGTTTTAAGTAGAAAAATACACAAAACGTCAGGCAATAAAAATAAAATAAACCAAAATTTAAATTAAACCTAGAAAAATAGTCAGCCAAAAAAAAAATAAATTAAAATAGAATACAATCATGAAATTTAAATTCGAAGAGAAGTAGAAAAATTCGATAAAACATTCCAAGTGGAACGTTTGCAAGTGAAAATCACCTCTTTTAGACAGACATGTAAATTTAAAAGCCAAGGAGAAAAATTCACTAAATAATAAATTACGTCAATAGTCGTAGACATTATACCGAAAAGTAAAATAACACACGAGAATATTTTAGTAGAAAAATCAGTCAAGTCAGACAGAATTTCCCAAGTGGAAAAAACCTTTTATGGTCAGAAGAAGAAAAAAATCAAATGGAACAAGAGACGAGGAGGAAAGAGTCTTGGAAAGCGAAAAACTTGCAAATCAAAAGAAAGGGACATATTTCAAGTGAAAAAAGTGTTTAATAGACAGACAAGAGGGTGAATAATAGCAAATAAATATTTGAGTAGAAAAATCTCTCAAAGTCAGACAAACGTCACTGTATTTTTAAAAGGGGAAAAAATTCTCTAATAGCCAGAGGTATAAAATTATTATTATTAAAATATAAAAAGAAGTTTAAAAAAAACAGAATTTATAGAGGTAAAGAAAATTTTCTTAATTCGATAAATTAGAGAGAATTTTTTTACTCTACTGAGTAGAAAACTTTTTTTTACAAAATAAATTCAAGGAGAATTTAATCCACTGAAAGAAAAATCGTCTATTTAATTATTGAAGGAAAAGAAATATTTTTAACGCTTAAAAAATTTTAAGTAGAAAAATCTATGAATAGCCAGACAAGGTACAGTCAAGGAGAATTTAATCTATTTTCTTTTACTATATTTAGTGTTTGAACCAAAAAAAAATATTTCAAGTAAAAAAGTAATGAAATATTGAGAAAATAAAAATAATGCTTAAACAAATTTTTAAGTAGAATAAGTTATGAATAGTCAGACAAAATAAATTCAAGAAGAATTTAAATATTTAATCTACTTAATTAGCGAATCATGAAAAATATGTCAAGTGGCAAAATATAAAAATAATTGACCTTGAAAAGCTAAATTATATTTTAAGTAGAAAAACCTACGAATAGTCAGACAAAATATAAATTCAAGGAGAAATTAATCTACTTTTTAGAGTCTATTTAGTTATTGAACCAAAAAAAAGTATTTTAAGTAGAAAAACCTACGAATTGTCAGACAAAATATAAATTCAAGAAGAAATTAATCTATTTTCTTACAGTCTATTTCGTTATTGAATCAAGAAAAGTATTTTAAGTAGAAAAATACTGAAATAGTCAGACAACATTCCTGTTTAACTGAGGAGTTAAAATTTCCGATAAAATATAGATTTTAGTTCTAATTGATAATTCAGTAGTTTGAAGAAGTAAATAAAAAGAGAAAAAAAAATGAAATAGAAAAGTTTTCAAAGAGGAAAAGTTAGTTGTGTGTATGTATGTATATATATAGACAATATAAGGGTGCTGATTACTCTTCACCTGGGTTTGAAACAAAGCTCTTTGAAATTTCTCAACGCCCTAACGCTTTCTATTCTAACTTGATACTTCACTTTAATGGGCGCAGAAAGCTTCGAATTCCAGCACCCGGTTTGAGAAATTGAAAGTGATCTCATTCAGGTAACTTCCCACTAAACCTTTGTTGAAAGACAAGTTTCAAGTTTCAAGAATCGGTAATACATTTTACGGGGTGATTAAATTAACAGTGCAGTGTCTAATTTTATTAAAAACTTAGCAAACTGCTTTCAATATAAGAAAAATCGTTAGGGCATTTATTTCAAAAAAAAGAAGAACAAGAAAAAAAGAAAAATATGTTTTTTAACTTTTCCTTATCAGTTATTTTCATATGTGTTAACTTTGTATAATTTTTTTTAGTTATTTTTATTATATCCACCTTTTAGATTAGTTTTATTAACTAACTTTATTACCTTTATCATAATATTTCATATAACCAAATATAAATATATTATAGTCTAAATATTTAATCCATTTTCTTTTCTTTACCTCATTAATTATCAAATACTCTATATTTAAATATAGAACCAAAAGAAATATTTTAAGTAGATAAGGATAGAAATAGACAGACGACTAAAAAGCTAATAACGTTATTAAGTAGAAAAATTAATCAATAGTCAGACAAATAACGACATGGAGTATTTTATCTATTTTTTTATAGTCTATTTAAATATTGAACCGAGAAAAATATTTTTTAAGTAGAAAAGTATAGAAGTAGTCAGACAAAATCAGTAACGCTAAACAAAATTCTAAGTAGAAAAATCTATCAATAGTCAGACAGTAAAATTAACACAAAACAATATTTAAAGTAGAAAAAACTATTAGTCAGACAAAATTATAGTCAGACAAAATAAATTTTGGTTGAAAATTAAAACAATATTCAGACAAAATAAAGTCAAGAAAAATTATAGTATTCTTTTTTAATACTTTAACAATACAAGAAAAGTATTAGAAAATAAAAATGACGCTAAATAAAATTTTAAGTAGAAAAACTACGAAATGTCAGATAAATTAATGTCAAGTAAAATTAAATCCATTTTCTTTTAATCTCTTCTTTTATTTCCAAACCAAAAAAAATATTTAATGCAGAAAAAAAATAGAAGTAGAAAAAAAAATGTTTAAAAGCAAATAATAAAAAGATACACAGAACAGAGTTTTAAGTAGAAAAATCGAACAATAGTCAGACAAAATATGGACAAAAAGAATCTCATCTAGAATCTTACAGTTTATTTAAATTTTGAACATGTAAAAAATATTTTTTTTACGTAGAAAAGTATGGAAACTGTCAGACAATAAAAAAAAGATACAAAAAAGTTTTAAGTAGAATATTCTAGCAATAGCCAGACAAGATGAAGTCAAGCTAAACCTAAGTAATATATTTTCTTTTAATTTCGTTCATTACCCAATTAAAAAAAATATTTCAAGTAGAAAAGTAAAGCAGTAGTCAGACAAGAAAAAAACTTTTTGTAAACTTTTCAGTAGAAAAATCTATTAATAGTCAGACAAAATATCGACAATAGTATATTTTCTTATTCTCTATTTAAATCTTGAACAGGAAAAAAATATATTTTAAGTAGAAAAGTATGGAAATAGTCATACAGAAAAAATAATTTTTTACAAATTTTTAAGTAGCAAGTTCTATCAATATTTAATATTCATGAAAATCATTAAATTTTTACAACAAATTTTTTAAATAATTGTATTTTGTTTGGAAATTTTTTGAAAATAGTACATTTTAAAAATCATTGAATAACATTCTTTAGAAGAGTTCAATTATTTTTATAAATTGTACATTTTTTTTGCATAAATTCAATTATTTTTAACAAAATTTTAATATAATTTCACGAAAGAATTCAATTATTTCCTAAAATTTTAATAAATTCTTCGAAACAATTCAATTATTTTTTAAATAGTACAATGTTTGCAAAAATTCAATTATTTTCAAAAAAATTTCGCGAAAGAATTTATTTTTTTCTGAATTTGTTATAAAATTGTTCAAGAGAATTCAATTATTTTCTACAATTTTTTAATAAATCCTTCGAAACAAATCCAATTATTTTTAAAAATAGTAAAACTCTTTGCATGAATTTAATTATTTTAAAATCAATTTTAATTGAATTCCTCGGAAAAATTCCATATTTAAAAAAATTTTTAATACATTTCGAATAAATTCAATTATTTTCAAAAATCTTAATAAATCCTTGGAAACTAAAATTAAATTCTTGCGAACGATTTTGTTAGAATTTTTAAAAATAATTAAATTTCCAAAAAGAAATTCATAACTTATAAAAATAATTGAATTATTCCAGAAAATTTTATTAAAATGTTTAAAAATAAAAACAAAATTTTGTTATATTTGAAAATAATTGAATTCTTTATAAGAATTTAATAAACATTGTATTTTTAATAATTAATTTTTTCGAAATATAATGAATATTATGAAAATATTATTTTAAATCATTGAATTCTTGTGGAAAATTTAATTTGTGAAAATAATTGAAACTTTCTGTTAATTCATTTCAAATAGTATTAAAAGTAATTAAAATTCTTCGTTGAGTTATTCATTATTTATAAAAATAATTAAATTTTTACTTAGAATTTTATTAAACATTTTTTTAAATTTCGATTTCCTTGAAAAATGTTATTATGAGTGAAAGTAATATTGAATTTTTGTAAAGAATTCCATAAAAATGTAGTTAAATAATTGAATTTTTTTGAATTTTTTTTTTTTTTTTTTGAAAATGCTATTCTAAATTAATTGAATTCAAGTGGAAATTTTTTTATTCATGAAAATAATTGAATTTTTGATGAATTTCACCAATTTTTTTTTAAATAATTGAATTCTTTTGCAAAATTTTATGAAAATACTAGATATTGAAAATATTTGAATTTCGAATTTTTTTTTTAAATAATTGAATCGTTTTAAAGAATTAGATTACAATTTTTAAGAACATTTTTTTGATTTCTACTATTAGCGAATTTAAACTTCAAAGTAGTGGAAATAAGACAAATATTTCAAGTAGAAAGGTAAAACAATAAAAAGAATAGTAAACAAAATTTAAAAAATAGAAAAGAAATTATTAAGTAGAAAAATCAATTAATAGTCAGACAAAATAACGACAAGAAGAATTTAATCATCTTTCTTATTGTCAATTTAAATATCGAACCGAAAGAAACAAGTTTAAGTAGAAAAGTATAGAAATAGTCAGACAATGAAAATAACGCTAAAGAAAGTGTTAAGTAGAAAATTCCATTAATAGTCAGACGAGAGAAATTCAAGCACATTTTAATCTATTTTCTCTTAATCTATTTTATTACTAAACCAAAAAAATATTTTAGGTAGAAAAATACAAAAACAGAAAAATAGAAAAATGGAGATAAATACCGATATAATAAAAGTAGCGCTAAACAAAATTAAGTAAAATAATTTTGTCAATAGGTAGACAAAATAATTTTTATAAATTGATAATATTTAGAAAATATTTAATGCATTTTTCAACAAAAATTTTTTGTTATTTTTTTTGTAATTGTTTATTTATTTATTTATTTATTTTTTCTTTTTTTTGGTATTTTTCATTGTTTTTTCTTTTTGCGAAAAAAATTTCGTCCCTCTCGAGCAAAGAATAAAAGATTGAAAAAAATTTGCAAATAAATAAAAAAAAAAGAAAAATTGCAATTTTTAAATGTATTTCTATTACCTGAACACTCTTTAAATACGCCAACTGTTCTTTTCGAAGATCGTTTGATAAGAGTTTTTCTTCTCTTTTCGCCATTGCCAATTCCTTTTCAATCAGATCTTGAAACGTGCGTTCCATTGCAGCCTCCTTAGAGACACGCTCAGCCTGACACATTCGTGCCATTTTCAATTGATCTTTCAGATCCCTTTTCAGCTCGTTCTTTTTATTTTTCTTCAATTCGAATCGTGACGCTTCCTCTTTTTGATGTTCCTCGCAATTCTTTCTAACATACTCGCATTGCTCTTTCTTCACGCGTCGTCTTTCCTCGGACATCAACGCCTCTTTGCCAGCAATTTGCTTTCTCAAACTAGCCTCTAAATCCAAAATTGCAATCTCTCGCTTTTTCGCCTCCTCATTTTCACGTAACTTTATCTCTTTTACCTTCAACAAAATAGCAAAGAAGAAAAAAATGGAAAATTTTTTTTTTTTGCATAAAAAATTGAATATATTTTTTTTTTATTTATTTAAATAAATATTTACTTGAAAAATAGATGAAAATAATCGGTTATAAAAAATTTAATTCAGGAAATGTAAATATTAAAAAATAGTAAAAATGTCTTTTGAAATAACTTCTCTGGAAAAATATAAAAATACAATAATATTTTCTTACATTATTCAACATTTGTTCATGCCACATTGATTCGAGAATTTTTTCTTCATTCTTTCTGGCATTATTATCAGCGATTTGCATTAAATTACAGTACTTGATATTTTTGATGGTTTTCTTGGTAAAATAATCTTTCGCTTCTGGACACATATCGAGAAATTGCTGATATCGTTTTGATTTTATAAAAGATAATCTAGCATTTTCTTCTCTTACTCGAGAGTCTTCGATTTGAGTTTTTAAATTCTCTTGGTAGTTTTCTCGAGTCTCCTCAGCATTTTTCATTATTTCTTCAGTTAAAGCTTCTTCCTCCCGAAGAAGTAAATTTCGAAGTTTTTCTCTACGACGATTCAAATCTACATCATATGCCTCAATACCTGTAAAGAATAAATTTCAATTTTTCAACAATTTTTTTTTTTTTCTTTACATTATGAAAAAAAAATTGCAAAACCAAATAAAAGATTCGTCAACTTTTTGCTTTTCTCTGAAAATAAAGTAAAAGGAAGTGTTTTCAAATTATATTTCTAATAAAGAAATATTAGGATTAAAAAGAAATACTCCATCTTCATTATTCTCGAGACTGCAAATTTGATTGATTGTTATTTTTTGAAAATTAGTCTTTATTTGATTTATAAATAAATAGTTGGAAAAATATTTTAGTAAAAGTGTTTAATTAAATCTTTATATCATTTGATAAATTGTTGAAATAAAAATAATGTTGATATTTTGATTCTTTTTTCTAATGCCTTTCATTGCAAAAAAAAACTAATTTTGACTCTGGGACGCAATGGTAAATAAATGAATATTTATTAATTAATTATTGTTTATTTATGCCACAAAAATTTAATTTTTTTCCCTGACATTTCCCTGATTTACAGACAGAATTTTGTTTTTTTTTTTTTGCCTATAAAGCAAATTTTGATTTACTCCAAAAATAATTAGATACAAAAAAAAATGTCCCTAATTTTCCTAATTTTCGAATAATTATTAATATTTTTCCACAAAAATTACGATTTTCTAAAAATTCAATTTTTCAAAAAAAAGTTCCTTTAAAATATTTCTGAAATCTACATGTTTACAATTCAATTTTATGAAATTTCAATTATTCAAAAATTTTTAAATTAAATATATTGATTAAAAAATTTAAAGTAATTTAAAAAAAAAATTAAATTAATTCTAAACAATTACGAAAAATTGTCCAAAAAACTCACTTTAAAGGAATTTTTAAATACAGTTTTTTAAAATTAAAATTTTCTAAAAATTCAATTTGAAACTTTTTGAAATACAATTATTTGAAAAAAATTATAAACTCAACTCTAGTAATAAATTTAAATTATATTCAAAATTTTCAGGAAAAATTTGGCGAATAATTAAGTAAAATAATTAAATTCCAATTCGAATTGTCTAAAAATTAAAATTTCAAACCCTTTGGAATTCGATATTTTATAAAAAAACAAAAAATTGCTATAACAACTTCTCCAAAATTATTTTTAGGAATTCAATTTAATTATTTTCGAGAATTTTTAACTAAATTTTTTCTCTAAATCAATAATTTTTAATATTTCTTTTTCGATTATTTAATAAATACAAAAGGCTCTTCAAAAGTATTTCTGAATTCTACTTGTATACAATTTAGTTTTATGAAAATTTGAAATATTCAAAATTTTCAATTAAAAATGTATTTCAAAATTCAAGTAATTTAAAAAATATTTTAATAAAAATTGTTTAGAAAACTAATTTTATTCGAAATATTGAATTTATGTATTTTAAAATTTTAATTTTCTAAAATTTTAATTTGAAACTTTTGGAAATTTAATTATTTATAAAAATTGTAAATGCAACTCTAGTAAAATAAAATTATTTTTAGAATTTTTGAGTAAAATTACCAAATAAATAAGTAAAATTATTAAACTTTAATACAAATTTTCTGAAACTTCAATTTGAAACCTTTTAAAGTCCAATTAATTATAAAAATTTTAAACGCAAATTTACTAAAATTAAATAATTTTTGGAATTTTGAAATAAAATTATATACAAAATAATTCTTAAGTTATACTGTTATGATTGTTTCCAAAGAATTAAATTATTAAATTTTCAAATACCAATAGACACCAAAGTTTAGAATTTTTTTATCAATTTTAAAATTTTTAAAATTCTTTTTATAATTTTGATAAAATTTCCTGACTATTCTCTTACTTCTCTGACGAATTTTACTTTTCCCTGATTTCCTTGACCTGTGGCAAAAATATTTTTACAAAAATAAGAAAAAGTTAATAAGATAATATTAACTTTATTAACTTTTCTTAATTTGTAAAAATATTTTGGAAATAGTAGGATTTATATTATAATAAATTAATACACTAAATTATAATTAAATAATAATAATAATAATAATTTATATTACGATAAAATATACATTATAATAACCACATTTAAAAAAAATGTTAGTAACACATAATTATATAAATTTAATTAAAATGAATTTTATGAAAATTAAAATATTTTTGAATTAACTAGTATATTTAAAACTAAAATATAGAATGAAAAATGAAATAATTTAATTATTATAATTAAGATGAAGGAGAGCAAAGTTCCTATTATCATTTGAATATATGATAATTTTGGGTGAATTACGAATACTTTTCAAATATATACATGTATATATAAACGGGGGTAGATTAAAGTTTTGTAACTTGTGCATTTTCTTGTTCTGAGTTTCTCTGATTCAAGAGACAGACCACAATTTTCTAATTTCATGGCATGTCACATTCACTTCACGCCATCTTAATTCTCCTGTTATCCACTTTCTGTCTTATTCCAACTTAATAAAGAAAAATAAAATGCAATTTATTCAACATTAAAATTCTCTTCATGCAAATATTCCCCCAAAGTCAAATTAATTGACATTATTATTTTTATCGACTTTTTCCAAGTTTTTTTCTTCTTATTTTTTTTTTCTTTATTACGAAACGAGAATTCCGCAATAAAAACAGTTATTTTAATTAGTGCCATTATTACATATTGATAATAATGATAATATTAATAATACCTAATAATAATTATTATTATTATTATAACTAAAGTATAATATTAGTTAATAAATTGTTATTAATAAATTGATATTAATATAATAATATATAATAAATTAATATCATTTAATTATTCTTTTATTATTAATCATATTTTTTTAGTTTTGGAAATTGAAACCAAAATTTGAATAAAAAAAATGAAATAAAAATAGTAATAATAAAATACTAAAAAAATAAGGAAAAATTTTCAAAAAGTCAGAGTCAGAGGCTTAAAAATCAAAATAACAAAAATTCTTTTAAAAAAAAACTTTAAAAAAGTTATAAAGGGTAAAATAAACTTCATTGAAAATAATTAAAAAAATAATTAAAATAAATTTTTTTTTAGAAATCGAATAAAAAAAATTATGAAAAAAAGGTTGAAATTTAATTATTCTTTTTATATTTTTTATTGCGTTATAATGTATATATAACTGTCAAATGCAATATTCTATTAAACTTGAGCATTTACGTTCACCAGATTCTTAACAGTTGGTTTTATTGCTTATCGTATAATTTAGGAGATTTGATCAACTGTTTATATTGCAGTTTGGTATTTTATTAGCCATTCGCCAATTGAAGAATAACAATCAAATTCTGGATACTAAGTTAAAGTGTGGTAAGATTTATGTGCATGTAAATAAATTTCCCAAAATAATAATAATAATAATACACGCGAGCAAGATAAATAAGCAACAGGTTAAACGAAATTTTAAAAAAAGAAAATTATTTTATTCAAAATTCTGCAAAATTTTTTTTTTAATATTTTAGCTATATACTTTTTGATTGTAATGATGAATTGAAGATAATTAAAAATTTTATAAATTCAAAATTGCTAATTTGTAAAATAATTGAAATATTCGAAAATTCTAGGTATTAAAAAATAATGGAATTTTTGAAGAATTTTTAAGAATAAATAATTAATTTGTTTTGATGAATTTTATTCAAAGTTTTGAAAGTAATTGAATTCTATCGAATAATTTTATTGTCTTTGAAAATAATTGAGTTCGTGTGTAGAATTTTAGAAAAATTTGTTAAAATAATTGAATTTGAACAAAGAATTTTTTTAGTTTAAAAAGAATTGAATTCTTTCGAACAAACTTTATTATTTATAGAATTAATTAAATAATTATTAAATTAAATAATTCTTGCGTAGAATTTATGAAAATTTTTCAAAAGAAATAAAATTTTCCAAGAACTTTAATTATTATTAAATTAAAAAATTAAATCTTATAGCTAAAGAATTTTATCAAAATTTATGAAAATAATTGAATTCCTTCGTATAATTTTTGAAAGTAATAGAATTCCTTTGTATAATTTTATAATTTTTTAAATAATTCCTATAATTTTCCAAATTTCTGCAAAATAATTCATTTTTTTTTTTGAATAATTATATTTTTTATGAAACTAATTGAATTCTTACAAAAAATTCAAAATAATTGAATTATTTTGAATCTTTTTTTCAAAGTTTGAAAATAATTGAATTTTTTTGCAAAATTACTTAATTTTTTTCGAATAATTTTTTTTTTTATTATGAAACTAATATTGAATTCCTGCGAAGGATTCTATACAAATTTTTGAAAATAATTGACTTATATTGAAAAAATTTTTTCCTTTGAAAATAATTGAATCTTTACAAATAATTTTATGAAAATTTTTGAAAATAATAGAATTCCTTTGTATAATTTTATAATTTTTTAAATAATTCTATAATTTTCCAAATTTCTGCAAAATAATTCATTTTTTTTTTTTTTTGAATAATTATATTTTTTATGAAACTAATTGGATTCTTGCAAAAAATTCAAAATAATTGAATTATTTTAAATCATTTTTTCAAAGTTTGAAAATAATTGAATTTTTTTGCAAAATTACTTAATTTTTTTCGATTATTTTTTTTTTTTTATTATGAAACTAATATTGAATTCCTGCGAAGGATTCTATACAAATTTTTGAAAATAATTGACTTTTATTTTTAAAAAATTTTTCCTTTGGAAATAATTGAATCTTTACAAATAAATTTATAAAAATTTTTGAAAATAATTGAATTCCTTCGTATAATTTTTGAAAATAATAGAATTCCTTTGTATAATTTTATAATTTTTTTAATAATTTTATAATTTTTCAGATTTCTGCAAAATAATTAAATTTTTTTTTGAATAATTATATTTTTTATGAAACTAATTGAATTCTTGCGAAAAATTCAAAATAATTGAATTATTTTGAATCTTTTTTTCAAAGTTTGAAAATAATTGAATTTTTTTTACAAATTTCTGCAAAATAATTTAATGTGTTTTTAATAATTTTATTTTTTA